GAATGCCAAGGTCCGTTTCGGCGGGTGGCGACAATGGCTAGGTGTTTATCTCTAATTGACGCATCAAACATCATTTAATTTAACTTTTCTCTTCATCTATCCTTTTCAAAATATTTACATGATAACACAAATATGCAATGATCACTATCTAAGGGCTTTTAGGCTTGTAATATGGCCAAACTACCAAGAAATGTATTATCTTTCAAGAATCAATAACATCTAAGACTAAGACAACAACTAATAATATGACTATAAAAAATAAAAAAACTTGCCATTGATTTATAGGAGACAATGCATTATAAGATTAGTTTTAATATGCAACCAATTTTTGTAATTTTTTTATCATCATATTATTGGTGTAAAGTATTTATCAATGTTTTTAATATCGAATTGATCATCAAAGTTCAATTGTCGAACTAGTATTAATAAAATAATAATGATATTTGAATAATACATAAAATAATATTATATAAACATAATATCATATTTTTATAAAATTAAATCTAAAATAAAACATCATTTTATATATTTCTTTTAAAGTGCATGTAAAAGTCTAAATATAATATTTAAGTTTAAATTTTAATAAAATATAACAATATATATCAACAATTTTATATTTAGATTAACAAAATCTTAAACGTTTATAATAAATAGGGGTAATTTAGTAATTTTGCACTGTTATTTATGAAATAATCCGTCATAGGGAACCCGAAAGGGGCGTTGTGGGGTGCTAACACCTTCCCCACGCGTAACCGACTCCCTTACCCAACTCTGGTTGTAATGGCCAAAGTTGATTTATAAAATCAATTGCCTTATCCATTTTTCCAATGTTTTGAGTAAAACATTGGTGGCGACTCCAAGAACCCTACTTTGCGAAAACCACTAATCCATGGAGGGTCCCGCTTGGGATTAACATGGATTGATGAATCATTTAATAAAATTGTTAGCTCGACAAGGTCTCAGTTTGAGAATAAGTCGTTCTATCAATCCACCACTTTCAAAACATTAAAACGAGTCATGACCATCGTCGCGAATGCCAAGGTCCGTTTCGGCGGGTGGCGACAATGGCTAGGTGTTTATCTCTAATTGACGCATCAAACATCATTTAATTTAACTTTTCTCTTCATCTATCCTTTTCAAAATATTTACATGATAACACAAATATGCAATGATCACTATCTAAGGGCTTTTAGGCTTGTAATATGGCCAAACTACCAAGAAATGTATTATCTTTCAAGAATCAATAACATCTAAGACTAAGACAACAACTAATAATATGACTATAAAAAATAAAAAAACTTGCCATTGATTTATAGGAGACAATGCATTATAAGATTAGTTTTAATATGCAACCAATTTTTGTAATTTTTTTATCATCATATTATTGGTGTAAAGTATTTATCAATGTTTTTAATATCGAATTGATCATCAAAGTTCAATTGTCGAACTAGTATTAATAAAATAATAATGATATTTGAATAATACATAAAATAATATTATATAAACATAATATCATATTTTTATAAAATTAAATCTAAAATAAAACATCATTTTATATATTTCTTTTAAAGTGCATGTAAAAGTCTAAATATAATATTTAAGTTTAAATTTTAATAAAATATAACAATATATATCAACAATTTTATATTTAGATTAACAAAATCTTAAATTAATATAATATAAATATAAAATATAAAATATCATGATATAAAATAATAAATTAATATAAATAACTAATTATATGTTTATAAGAAAAATATTAAAATAAAAAATAACATAATTTATTTTAATTTATAACTTTTATTAAATAAATATATTTGTTTATCATAAAATATTTTAAAAAAAATTTAGAAAATTAAAAAATATTTTTAAAAAAATACTAGTTTAATCCAATTTTCTAGACCGGTTCTTGACTGATTTTATTGATTTTAAGTCAATTCATCCAATTTTTGACCAATTTTATATACTAATTCTATGATTTTTTGGACCAATAAATTAATTGATTTCCAGTTTCATCGGTCGATCCAATTTAATTTTGATAACACAAGTATTTACTGAATTTGTCAATAACTAATATCTATTAAAAGAACTTTAGTTAAGAAGTCTAAATTCAAAAAGAATTTATTTGAATAAATTTATTTAAAAATACTTTTACAATAAGAAAATTAAGAATTTTTTTTAATTAAAATTAAGTTATATGTAAGTTAAAACATTTTCTTGAAACAACTAGTTTATATAAATTAATTTTAATTTTTAGATAAACTTATTTTTTTTTCTTCATATTTTCTTCTCAAAAAGAATTTTCGAAGAAATTTATACAATAATACTTCATATGTACAATATTCGTTATTAATACATTTTCATGGCATTATTCCTTATAATTGTATCAAGTGTTTCTCTGGCCAACTAGAATGGGTCATGGCCCTGTCGCTCATCATGCAAACACCAAGATCCAATGCAATATTTGGGTCATTACTTTTACCATCTAGGCCTTAAAGAAAAGGGCATCATTCCCATAATATATTTTCAGTGATCAAGAGTTATATGTTACATCTGCTAAAAAAAATTACATGGTACAACATCATAGAAAAAATACCAATAAATCGTTAATATGAATGAAAGTGAGTTAAGATTCCATGAGAATATATGTCATTAACAATTTTTTTAAAAGGAAAGTAATCATCAACCAAACTAATAATATTTTATATCAATAAAATTAAGAAAAGCATTAGAAAACTAATCGGTGATAGCTGGAATATATTTTATTTTTTAAATCCCGGAAATGACTGGTCTTTGATTTAAAAATAAACCAACACTAAAATAAATTATCCTAACTTATAATCTATGATATATATTAATATATTATTAAAAAAATTTAATATAATCTATAATATCTATAATATCACATAATATATATTTTTAAATTTTATTTAAAATTAATATTAAAATTATGTGTAATTATATATTAAATATATTTATATTTATATCTAACAATGTAAATCATTCTGACCTACTTTTTTAATTGTTCTCATTTTTGATCCATTGAAAATAAAAACTCGTTAGATCTGGAAAATTAAACATGTTCGTTCCCGTTTTATACTGCTGATTATTTGTATAAATTGCAATAAAAATGCGACCGTAGTTTCATCCATAGTTTTAAAAATCGAACCGGTCATCGAACCGGTTAAGGTACTAGGTCAGTGAATCAAATGTTGAATCGGTGGATCATTAGTTGAACTGCATGACTCAATTTTTATTTATCTTTATTAAGAAATATTTATATTAAATATATTTTATACTTATAAATTTTAATAAATTCATATCTTATTTTAAATGAAAAATTTTCTCTCTTATTTAAAATTATTTTTATTTTTATTTTTTAAAAAAATATATAAAAAATTACATGTTAAACTGTATATTAATACAAATTAAAAATATAATATATCCATATATAATATGCTTGCAATTGATATCACAAAATAATATATACAATATTTACATAGATATTATATTATTAAATATGTAATTCAAAATTATTAATATATTATAAAAGTTATTTAAGTTGTATATATTATAGACAAATATATTAGAACAAGTAGTCATTGTTATATTTAATAAGAATCTTCGTTCTTTCATTAAGAGATTCAATTTTCATTATTGTTTTTGTGGTTCATAGTTCCTTAAAAAATAAAAAAATAAAAAAAAAAATAAAAATGGTTGAACCGATTTGATCTACTAGTTCATTGGTTTAACAGAAAACTGATCGGTTCAATCCAGTTTAAAAAGGGATCAACTACATAATCGATCCAATTTAAGATTTGGACCGACTAGACCACCAGTTCTCGGTCCAACCAGTCGAACTGATTGGTTGTTCCGGGTTTTTAAACACCGGTTTGATCTATTGACAAGTTGCAAGCTTCCGTACGAAGTTGATAACTTCTCATCACAACTGCATTTACGAGACTTAACTATCGGTCCCTATCCATATCTCCGAGTTATTACCATTCCACTTACAATTATTTATTTATTTGGGAAAAAACTTTTGTACGAAAATTTGAGGAAGAACGTGTTAATATTTCATTGGTTGAATAGTAAGTTAAAAAATTGGAAAAAACAATTCATAATTTTACAAAAGTACAATATTTTTGCTGCTTTGGTGGTTTTCGTACTCGACCACTTACCATTTAGCTTTATACTATTCACACACAAAGAATATCAGCTTTATCGTACAATTATATCGCGACCGACCTAGTTTATAACATTAATTTCATTTTCTATCTACTTATACGGAAAAGCCCCACCATACCAATAAATACTTGTCCCAACTTCGCACTATATGGATAATTTATTTTTTTTAACATTTTAGAAAAAAATAAAATTTAATAAGCAACTACTAGTATTTTGTTATAAATTACTCCAAGTTTCAATTTCCAATTTCCATCTATGCCACGGTGTGTTTAGACAATTAGACCCACCAATGACAGCACATCCCCATGCATTTACACCACAGTGGTGTAACATTCCCCAAGTCCTCTTGTATTCTAACAACCGTACCCATCATTTTCAACCAAAAGTCAAAGGTTTCGTAAGAAACTTTGACTGTGTTGCTGCAGCCACTTATGAAAATCCGACACTTTACATGAAACTTCCAAAGGTTCAATCAAACCGAGTATACGAGTTTTCAAAATTACTCTGAAGGTATATATGCACAATTGCACTTTGCATATATGATATACCCTGCCACAAAATCACTAAGTAAGTTGTCACAAACATTCAATTCACACATATTATTCCCCTGGTATTGTCCAGCCGTGCTTTCAACAGAATTGTCTCATAGGAGATTTAGTGTCCGAAACGTGTTCGTGTTTAGTGTCTGAGTGTGTTTCAAACAGGATTTGTCTCTAAACTAAAGTTTTCATATTTAGTGTCTGATTGTGTTTCAAGTTTCAACCAGATTGTCTCTGAAGAAAAATACATGTGAGAAATTATTAAGTAACAATTTCACGTATATAAAGCATCCAAGAGATAACAATTGTGAAGGGTCAAAAACCTTGATCAAGAATTGTCGAAGCAATGGCCACTCCTTTGGCCTACCAAGAGCACCTTCCTGCATCACCCAATTGGCTGAACAAAGGTGACAACGCATGGCAGTTAACAGCAGCAACTCTGGTTGGCCTTCAGAGCATGCCAGGTCTCGTGATCCTCTACGCCAGCATAGTGAAAAAGAAATGGGCAGTGAACTCGGCCTTCATGGCTCTCTATGCCTTTGCAGCTGTTCTCATATGTTGGGTGCTTGTGTGTTTCCGAATGGCCTTTGGGGAGCAACTTTTCCCCTTTTGGGGCAAGGGTGCACCAGCACTAGGCCAAAAGTTCCTCACGAAACGAGCCTTGGTCGTTGAAACCATCCACCACTATGATAATGGCACTGTTGAGAGCCCTGCTGAAGAACCCTTTTACCCCATGGCCTCACTTGTCTATTTCCAATTCACTTTTGCTGCTATCACTCTCATCCTTTTGGCTGGCTCTGTCCTTGGAAGAATGAACATCAAGGCTTGGATGGCTTTTGTGCCTCTTTGGTTAATCTTTTCTTACACTGTTGGGGCTTTTAGCCTCTGGGGTGGTGGCTTTCTCTACCAATGGGGTGTCATTGACTACTCTGGTGGATATGTCATCCACCTTTCCTCTGGAATCGCTGGCTTAACTGCTGCTTATTGGGTACGTATACATCACTTTCATTTTCTTCATAATTCTATCAAATTTTCTCCCCTTAGTCAAGGTTTTAAATTAATATTGCAGTTGGGTTTTGGTTATGATTCTTGAAATAAAGAGAAGTTGTAGATAAAAGCGATTTTGGTTGCCATATTCAGTGAGAGTCCAAAATCTTACATTGAGGCCAAAATTAAGTTCACAAATCGGTGTTTAAAACTTGCTCTTGAATGAAGTTTTAAAATATGGTTTGTAACTATAGTTTAAGGCTCAACATCAAAGCTTTTGAGTGTCTCCAACCATAATTGTTGTCTCATCCGTTACATTTGTCTGCAAGTTTTCAAAACATAAAGCATTGTGCCCAAACATGATAAGAACTAGAATTTAAAACCTATTGAAAATTGCTTTGGTTCAATGATTTGTTGTTGGTTGGTTGTTGGTTGTTGGCTTTTAGCTTGCACTGATAGATAAGTTCAGTTATTTTTATTTTGAAGTCAGAAATAATCGTTTTTATTGTTAATATTTAAAAATAATTATTTTTTTCATCAATCTTGTTAGAGTTTTTGAGAAATTAAATAACTATTTTCCTAAAGCAACAATTTCCAAACATGTTAGTATAACCATGAAACAATTAACGTTTTACCATTAATTTTGGGCACATAAAAGGAACAAAACTTAGATATAATTTCATTACTGATGTTAATTATGTTCTTTAATCATAATTTGAGTTTTACACCGATTATTAAGATAAAATTTCAATTTTAATTAGAAAACAATGCGAAGAAGACTTATACCTTATTAAGTTTTATCCCCATAGGAATTTCCCATGTTCATTGATTCAAGTATGGCAACCTGGTTTTTGATTGGCATGCATTAAATATGTACAGGTTGGACCAAGATTCAAGAATGATAGGGAGAGGTTTCCACCAAACAATGTGTTGCTTATGCTTGCGGGTGCTGGTTTATTGTGGATGGGGTGGTCAGGGTTCAACGGTGGAGCACCATATGCTGCAAACATTGCATCATCAATTGCAGTGTTGAACACAAACATTTGTGCAGCCACAAGCCTCCTTGTGTGGACCACTCTCGATGTCATCTTCTTCGGGAAACCCTCCGTGATTGGAGCTGTGCAGGGCATGATGACCGGACTTGTATGCATCACCCCAGGAGCAGGTACTACTATTACTTTCTTAGACCATGTGAATTGCACCTTCAAAAACATAATTCATTCTTTGTCTTTAGTCTTTAAATAATTAATAAATGACCATATTTTATGACTATGTAAACTCTTGTGCATTAATACTAGATAATTCACATTAATCAATTTACTTAGAAGTAAAGTAGTATTTTGAGCTATAACTTTGTGTTTAGGTCACAAACTGAATCCTAGTTATAATTATGTAAAGAAGTATCAAATGCTGGCAAGACATGATAAGGTTTACTTATACATTGAATTAACTTTAGTATAAAAAGAATTTACACTAGGGTAGATGAAAATGATTCCATTAAAGACCATAGTTTTGTAGAAGCAGTTTTTGTTGACAAATAATGAAGGTGTGAGTGCAACTTGTAGGACTTGTGCAATCGTGGGCGGCTATAGTGATGGGAATGTTATCTGGGAGTGTTCCATGGGTGACCATGATGATTTTGCACAAAAAGTCAAGCTTGTTGCAAAAGGTCAGGCTTTCTTTTCTCATGTCACACGATATTTTCCACTTCACTTTTGCTGTGCACGTGTCTCTGAATTTTCATTTAATATTGGAAAAAACAATGCCCAAAACCCCAGCTCATAACTTGATTCCAACTTTACAACCACTTTCATTTCTTTTTGCCCACTTAACTGTTCTTTATAAGATGATGTAAAGGTCAAAGTTGTCCTCGTTTTCTTCGGGAGTAGATAGAGTCTCTTATGTCACCTCACCTTTTTTTATAAAATTATGACATTGGTTCTTATTATATAAAAATAAAAAAGCTTTTTTGATCAAAATAATATTGAATAAAGACGGGAAGTAGAGAGCCTATTAAAGTGATACACTACGCATTTACCTTGTTCTTGGATTTTTCTGTTTGATTAATTTTGTTTATTAAAATTTCCAAATACATCATTTTTCTTTGACAAGACATAAGGGTCTAAAGAGATTATTATCGTTATTATCCTCATTGCTTTGATAGATTCCTTGAATGCTTCTGTTACCATAATGGCGTGATGATATTTTTGTCTAAGCAGAATATGGTTTGCTTAATTCTAGAAGTGTCAAAATTAGTCTTGGTTGGCTGAAACAGACTTAATAAAAAGGGTCTAAAGTTATGGGGCCTATTTAGTTCAATTTGGTGGGTTAAATATGTGAGGTCAAGGTCAAGCCAATAATTTAGAATTTCAAAACATACAGGACCTTTTAGTTTTCTTTTTATTTTGTAAAATCTAAATTAAAAAAAATTACATTTGTCAATTTAACCCGAATCGCTTTATGTTCATCTGCCAAACTAGCCCAGCCCATTCAACAATCCTACTGATTATTACTCTTAAAACATCATTATCATACCACCAAAACTTCAACTACGCATTAATAATAACATTTGGAATCTTATTTTTTCCTAGAAAAGCATTTCGTCAATTATGCTTATTTGACAAATTTAGGCCACCTTCCATTTTCTATTTATCCCATTTAATCATGTAAATTTTTATCGTTTATCATGTACCGACTTGATTTTTAGACAAAAGTTATTCAACACATTGGAATACACAACTGATCATATACGGAATGTAATAAGAAGTCCAACAAATCAATTGAATCATTCATCTACTTGAGCTTAATGATACGCATTGTTAGTCTAAATTATTTTGCACAGAATTCATGACATAATCAATTATCTAACTATACATAACAACGTACATGCATTATTTATTCATGCATAACTAGTAATTTTTTTTTATAAACTGGTTATTAATATAAAATATCAATCACTTTATCATAATTAATCTCTATAAAAATATATATATATATACTTGATTGATCACCTTTTTATAATTATGTGTTGTTACATAATTTTGTGACTTATATTATGTTTAGGTGGATGACACCCTTGGGGTGTTTCACACACATGCTGTGGCTGGCCTTTTGGGTGGCCTCCTCACAGGTCTATTAGCAGAACCAGCCCTTTGTAGACTCCTATTGCCAGTTACCAACTCAAGAGGTGCATTCTATGGTGGAGGTGGTGGTGTGCAATTCTTGAAGCAATTGGTGGCAGCCATGTTTGTTATTGGATGGAACTTGGTCTCCACCACCATCATCCTCCTTGTCATACAAATTTTCATACCCTTGAGGATGCCGGACGAGCAGCTAGAGATCGGCGACGACGCCGTCCACGGCGAGGAAGCCTATGCCCTTTGGGGTGATGGTGAGAAATATGACCCAACTAGGCATGGTTCCTTGCAAACTGGCAACACTGCTGTGTCACCTTATGTTAATGGTGCAAGAGGTGTGACTATAAACTTGTGAGTCAAGAAATTAATTAGCAAGGCTAGCTGTGCTTTGCTCTCACATATGTATAAAGTTAATCTATGTATGATGTAATTAATTCGTGAGTGGTGTAGGTAGAAATTTGATTTTCATGAAAGAAAATTTCAAGTTTTGAGATCTGATGTTCCTCTAGTTATCCAAATTTTATGCACATAATGTCTTGACATGTATGTGTACAAGATTTAGATTTGTCAGATTTTTGAAGGAAGCTTCAAGGAGATTGTGATTAGGAATTTTTATTTTTTCACTTACATGTTTTAATTACTAGAAAAGTATCAATTTTTATTTACATCTATTTGAATAAATTTTCTCATAAATACTTTTAGAATAAAAAGAAAAAATAAGACGAAAAATCAACATAATCCTTTATTAAACTAAAACTAATTTATATATAAATTAATAAATAAATTTTGAAAAAATTAATAGGTGAGAGTTTTTACAAATTAAATTATAAAATATTTAGTATTTGTTAAAAATCAATTTATCACAAGTGTAAGAAAAGAATGATTTTAACCTCAGAGTATGCACCATGTTTTTTTTTTCCTAATAGATTATATATATTGGCTCAGATAAGGGTAAAAGTTTGTACTTTGTTTTTAGTTGTGAATTTCTGAATGAAGTTTAGATCCAGATATTTTGATATTAGATCAAATATATATTCTTCACAAAAAAAAAAAAAAAAGAAGAAGCAAAATCTAGATTTATTCAACAGAAAAATCTCATAAACTGAGCATGAGCTTTCCAAATTGAGGGTATTACAAATGTACTTCTGTCCAAAGCCATTGACTTCAATGTTAACGGCGACATTAAGCTAAATTGATGTTTTAATATAAGAAAATGAGTTTATTTTTGGCATAAAAAATTGTCAATTACAGAATTAATATGCAGTGAACCTTTTATGAAAAAGTGGTATTTAGTAGGTTAGAAGAATCATAGGATAGGATGAAAATGTTAGGAAAAAACCATCACGTTAAGTAGTTTGTCTTATACGGAAATTTAATGGAATGCAATTTCATTTGTCGGCTTGTGCGGAAACACTTGTCGTTTCAATCAATGATAGTTTTTTAATTTTTTTTTTAATTATTTGAATAGCAGCCATGTTCTCTTTTGAAAAGTCTTCCATTAAGAGCAGTCTCTTTGGACCCGTAGGTTACAGTTATCTTTTCATATGAATTATTATAATGGTAGAGGCAACCATATATGATATATTTCTCGTACGAGATTACTTATATCTTAATTACATCAAATATCACAGATGCATGTAGGATCTTATAGTACAAAAGCTTACTCTGTCTTGATCTTGAATATATCGGATTAATTAGACAATGATAAGACGAAACTCGACCTGTAAGATATCCAGCCTTAAATTCAAGAGTGGATGAAATGGACTGCAGCTTTCCCAAGCAGCAATTTTTTAAGTTTTTTTTTTCTCAGTGAACCACTAGATCCGGTTCTAATGATAACATTTGAAATAAATATATAAAAATTTAGATTCGATCTTCATGTGACCAAAAAAACAAAGTATGTCGATACATTTTAACGCACGCTAACCAAATTCAGCTACACATGTTCTGTTTGGGTATACATTGTTGATAATCGAAAAAAATGTAATTACATATTTAATATCAAACACGCTATTGCTATTGTATGTTCTTTGTTGGACATGGAAGAAGTTTATATAACTGGGGTAATTTTAGTACATCCATACCTCCATACATTTTCATTCAAACCATTTATTTTAATCCTATTAATAAATGTCCTCGCAGTCACAGTGAAAGTATTTATTGAAAGAAATTTCTACCAGATTCTTGAAAATTTAATTTGCAACTGAACCCAATAATGTTTGATTCATATAACGTACCTACCTCAATAAGATAAAACTTTGTTATTGTGGTTGTATTATTATTATTATTATTATTATTATTATTATTATTATTATTATTATTATTATTATTATTATTATTATTATTATTATTATTATATGTCATTGCAACTTACTAATACGAGTACCCCCATTTGTTTGAATTTGTTATAGGATTTCGGCTCCCCTCCTGGATTTTAATTATAAAGTTAAAATTTTGGTATCAACTCTGAAAACATTTTTCATTCTCCACAAACAAATCTGACTTTTGTCAAATAATGGCTGAAGTGTACTTAATATCAACAATCTTCAGTGTATATCAGAACTGACAATGGATGCACTCTCAATTTCATGGACATATTTATGTGAAGGAGCAACAAGATTATGCTCCTCCACTTTCTAGTTTGTCCCAAATTCTAGCTTCAAAGTCTGCTTCCTAAGGCAGTCAAATAAATGGTTCAACACGTTTTGTCTTAAACAAATTACAAAAAAAGAAAATCAACCTTGAACGAAGAATCAAGGTCCAAAAATATGGTGTTGTATATGTTTTATAGTCTAATGTCACATAGCAATTTCTGAGCTAATCATGGCGCTCCCAATCTTGATTTACATTTCTAGAAGATGAGATTGAGGTTGGGGCATTCAAGCTTCCCATTCCAGAATCAAAGGTCTCCCATTGGGTTGCTACGGAGACAGCTTTTCCAATGCTGGTATAAGGGTTGGAGTTTCTTGCCTTCAAAGTATCTAACGTATCTACAAAGTTCTGCACACGACGCACCTGTGAAGGGTGAAAAAGCTTATGTTCAGGCCTTTAAAGATAATGCAATTATGGATAATTATCAGAATGGAAAGTCAGAAAAGAAAAAATCAATCCATGCTAAGGAAAGAAAAGGGGAAGTTGTTGAGATAGTATTTGATAAAGATACTGATAATGACAGAATATATTTCAAGTTTCAACTCCCAACACTCAAATGTGTTAACTAGACATATTATTATGGTCATATTGATGATATAGTGGGATCTAGTTTAGGTGATCTACATACTTAACATGGATACAAATCAGTAAATATATTTCAATTTCTCAAGGTAATAGACAATTACAGTATCCTGTAGAGATAACCTTTAAAGGGAATGTAGAAGGTTGAACTAAAGCCACTATTTCTACCAACATCAAAATTTGGGTTATAAAACTTGACCTAAAATGGTTGCAAGCAGGAA